CGGAAGTAGGTAGGTGGTGATTCTCTTGTATGCAAGACCTGGAAAATGGCTCCAACTTGAGAGTTGGAGTAAAATGCAGCCCGCTGCAGTGCCTCCTGAATCTGCAACAAAAAGGCTCAAAATCATACATAAGTAATCCACACACATGCACATAAATGTAAAGCACAAGAAGCAGAAAACTAATACCTGTTTTGTGGCAAAAACAGGACTCCATCCCTCAGCCACAAGACATTTCTTTGTAACATCAAGGCTAAGCATATTCAGAGTGTGATAAATTGATTTCTCCTTTTTCACCTTCAGGAGTTAAAGACAGAGAGTTTACTTACCGAACTTAGAACATCAGTTTGACTTCAAGAGTGCAATTGCATCTCATGTGCAAGAAGAAATATAAGCCAAATCTATGGAAAACTGAGGAAAGATAACCATCATGTAACATAATTTATAGTTTAAACAGACCTTAATGTTCCATTGTTCTAACTGATCTCCAATGGTCTGCAATAGATTGTCCCGGAGAAGCAATCCAGCATCTATGGTGGTTTTTAGCTCCGAAATTCTTCCAGAAACCTGCAATGCATAGTGATCATAGAGATTGGTCAGGTAAAAACATTCCTAGCAGTCGCAAACGAAATGCATAAAGATTCAAGTTTCCTTGATGCATTAAAGGAATTGATACAAGACCGCAAAGGAAGGAGAGGAGGGGTGTTCCTCATCAAGAAGTAAAGTTGAAAGTGGTCTGTGCAAGAGAAGATCTAGCATACATGCATATTCAGACAATATACTTAATAGAGAACCGGAAGGACAGGGGTGTCCTGGAGGAACAAATAAATAATGTGAAACAAGCAAGCAGCAGTCTGCCAAACCATCAAGAAAGTACACAGACATGACAGTTTAAATAAAATATAATAAATACCTCATTAACCATGAGACGGTCCTCAGCAAAAGGATAACGGTTAGCGCCAAAAGCTTCACATATCTTCAGAATTTTGTTTTTTGCCCTTTCTCCAGAGTAAAAAACCACAAATACATTTTTCTCCATCTGCAAATTAACATTCAAACCAAAGACAACAGAAAATGTTGTACAAGATTAGAGAAATGATCTACTATTCACAAGTCCGAAATTCATAAAACTAAGCTGACCTAAACAACACATATAAGCACAACCTGAGTGGACTGCACTATAAATCCTACACCAAGAGTGTTACTGTTCTCATAAACTAGAAAATTAAATCAATTTTAACTTGGCATTGAGATTGTATGTGATTACTCATGAATACATGCAACATAATCGTTGTTCAATAGTCATCCAGAACATAAAATCTAAGATCTTCAATAAATGGCACATTGTCTGCATAATAACTTTGTTTGACTCTCTTTCAGAAGTCCGAACATAAAACTTGTGGTCTTCAAATAAACGATGCATCAACATGATGAAGACTTAGCATGTCTGAGTAACATAAAAACGTAAGAAACATTCTTTCATCTGCATGTATGTGATATCCATCCACATTATCCGATGAAATTACTCTAAATATCTCATCCATTCCATTAAAACAATTTTCACCTTCTCTCCAGAAACAGGATCAGTGACAGGGTCCTCTACAGGAACTTGCTTGAGGAACACATTGCCCCTAGTTGCACGAAATAAAATCCTCTCGAATGCCATGGACTTTTCCCTAGGAACAAGACCAGTAATAAATCCCAATTTCACTTGCTTCGATAAATCTGTTGAGGTTTCCTGAAACAACGGGGAGATTTTTATAAGTGAAGGTATAACATTATAGATAGATAAGATAGTACATCATGCTCAAAGAAAGATGGTGATATACTTGTTCCTGCAGTAAAGGAGTTTCAATGGATTCGTCACCCATTTGCCGTGATCCCATTTCTCTCTGTTGAGTTGTAGCACTGTGTTGAGCAGAAGCACAAAATTCACCAGCCTAAACAGAAAAACAAGTTAGCAATTTATGCAATAATCGGAAAGCATCACAAGCTAAAAGCAAATGGAACTTTGAAAAGAGATATCCACTTGATTGTGGAGAGTGAAAAATATTTTTTTTAAATACTCGATGTACAAATGAGAGTAAGATAATTTCAAATTCAACTCCATTCAGTTTCCATAAAAAACTGAAATCAACTTTTAACAAAGATAACATGAAATAACAGTGTTCATCACTTTATTGACTCTATACGAATAGTAGCCCAGTGTCTCAACTCTGAATTGTTTTACTCATCCAAACATATATAGCCCTACTGCAAAAGTTAGCAACTTTTCAACAGCCATGTGTTTGTGTTTCTCATGATAAAAATATTAGTAGGAACTAGGAAGTGAACCATTACAAAATCACCTGATTAGGGCAGCAAGCAAGGCATACCTTTTGCAAAACAAGCTTATACTCAAGCAACTCATTATAACCACGTTGCAACTTTCCACAATTTGCATTCATCTCAATCAGCTCCGCCTCATGTTCTCCAAGTTTCACCTAAAAGTAACAATAGAAAATTTGAATTCAAGAAGAAGAAAAAATAGAAAAAGAAAGCATTTCTAAGCAATAGATATTGTACCTCTAAGTCATCCAAATCGATGCCAGTTTCTGCCCCAGGTTTTGTTGAAGTGGAGAAGCCTGCTTTTAGCATTTGCTCCTTGAAAAATCGTAACTTGCGTGCCATCTCTCCACATCTTTTAATCTTCATGAGAAAGAATTGTCAGAAAACAATGGCCAAAAACACAATAGGGAAGCACAAAAGAAAGGAGCAAGTTATAGAGAACAAAACATAACATCGCAACATTTAAATATCTATAGTAATTCAAATTAAATAGAAGGGCAGTAAAGTTAGCTGTTGCAAACAAACATCCATCATTTGAGATCCTATAAAACCAGCTGAAATCTTCTAGGACTTAATTGAAGGCCAGCATATGATATAAATCAGAAACCAACATTTTGGTTAGGTGAGGTAGCAGTTTTTCTTCAATAGATGTAATATTATTTATTGCCAACATTTTTCAGCCAGTGAAGCTGCTAATAGTATATAAATCCTGATACTAAGGTTCTTTAGAAGTAGAATGAGCAGCAACAGCATGCGTTGAAGTTCACACATGAATCACACTATTAAAAGTAAGTAAAGAAAATACCTGAGCAGCATAAGTTCGCTGAAATGGACTCTTGTCCGAATTGAGCTGTAAGATATCATCATAAAAAAATAAGTCTTAAATCTCCACCAACTGATCCATTAAATCCTAAAGAAATTGTAAAATAAAAACTAACTTTTCACGATCTAGTATTATATAAAAAAACAGCAGAAAAAGAAGGGAATCGATAGATAAAACAAAAGCCCTAGCATTAATAATCATAAAAAAACGATCGGCCGATCTCTATTCCAAAGAATTTCCAGCATATAGTTCAACTCCACGGTTTCTATGAACTTCGATCAAAGACTCAAACACCGAAAATAGAGTTCAATTCCGAAGTAGAACAAAAAAGGGAGTACAGATTCCTATAGAACTGAGCATATCAAAGAAATAGAATTAACAACGGTTGACAAGTAAAAAAAAACAGCGTACTGACGTCTTTGAATTGAAGGAGACCGAGGTCGCCGAGATAAGAGACGGTAAGGTGAGCGGACTCCATCGGAATAATGAGCTGGACCAATTGCATTGCCTCCGACCGGAACAGATCCATCGGAGGGCAACATCCTCCACGATCTGCCATTGAGTCCTACACCGTTTCGACTGAGTTGATTTTTGCGATCAGGCGAGAGCAGAGCGAGATGGATCTCTTTCGAGTATTTTTTTTGTTTGTTTTGGATTTGGATTTGTGGAGTTCAAATAATTCAGCGCGTAGTTAAAAACAAAAATACACGGCCACGGGGAAAGTGGGAGTAAGGAGACCGAGGGAGATTGTAAGAGATTTCGACCTTTACTCGCTCACCATCACAAGCTTCCACGTAAGATTTTTTTTTCCTTTTTTACCGTTCGAGTTATCTTAATATTCTTTTTCTTCATTTATTTTTAATTTTTCATATTTTTTATCTTCAAATTAATGCCAAACCATCTATTTTTCTTTTAAAAAAATCTCATTATAATTTTAATCCTTTCATCTCATGTGATGGCTAATTGGCTATAAATAAATTAAACTTGAATGAATAAGCACTATATATTTGATTTATATTCATTTCTCTAATGTTAAATAAATTATTTTTATATTATATTTGTTTAATTTTTTTTCATATACATTTATTTAAATTTATATGTATTTTTATCTAAAAATTTATATAAATCCTTATTCATTTATTTAATATTCATGATCCTAAACAAATATTTTAATAAATATGTTTATAAATAAATTAATAAATAAATCTATTATAAACAAAAACTAATTAAATATAATATATTTAAACTATTATATTTAAGATTCCATTAAGTGACCTGAATAAAGAGAAATTATTATGTTTTAAAATTCTAAGCTGAAGCAACTGTGTATTTAAAGTGTATGTATATTATCAATGAATAAAAAATATTTTAAACATAAAAAATATTATAATCACCTAATACTATTAAAAAATTTATATATTTAATAAATACACTGTTTCTTAATTTATCAAATTAATTTATTAGCTACCGTAAGCCCCGTTAAGTATTATGCATGAGCCATAAACCATTCAATAATTGGATAATCAAAACCACCTATATTAAACCTAACTTCTGGATTAGGGATTCATCACTTTAAAAACTTTGTTTTCTATTCAATTTAATCCACCTCATAAAGGTCTCTAGATATAACCAATGAATATTGGGGGGGGGGGGAATAACCTTTGCAATGGGTACCACTCCATTTTATCGTTAAACAACATTAATTTACGACTTTTTTCAACAAGAAAAAGGAAATGGAAATGCATAAGCCATGTATTACCAAAAGCTGCTAAGCATATGATACAATGTCACAATCACCTACTTAATGACATACATAACACTCGATTCATTCTCTTCTATCAAAGAATGTCTACCACAGGCTGAGTGAGTGATACCATAAAAGAGTACATGTCTTTTGCGGAGGGTATCTCGGAAGTCGCAAGGCAGCATTCACGGTTAGCATGTCGGTTTTGGTTTCTCTCGTAACTTCTCATCTTTATATTCTCTTCACACTGTCGCCATGAAGAACAACAAAACCCTCGCTGGCTAGAGTTGCAACTGCAGTTCTTAGCTGAATTGGACAATAAAAACGAATGAAAGAAAAAAACAAATGTGTTAATCAGTTTGAGCATGTTCATTTTAAATGGGAGTGAAAGGAAGAAAGAGGCTTGGATTGTCACATCATGAAGGTGGATTTCGCTGCCAGAGCTCTGCTTCTTCATTTCATCAAGTAACTGTAGGATTAACCAAGTAGGTGATCAAGCAGTTGATTTTCGGAACTATATGAAAGCTTCCAGATTTAAATCTACTGAACTAGCTTACCTCTAACAATCGTATTGATGGTCCCCCAAGGTGTAGCTTATCCATTATTATGTTGCGTGCTGCTGATAGCACACCGTCCCTCCTCATCCTTTCACTTGCAGAAACTCCCGTGGTTATAAGATCCATATCAATGGTTCCTTTAGAGAAAAAAAAGGGAAAAAAATGGAAGGGTTCATTAGATTGTTCTTATGGTGGGGAAATGAATTCGCAATAAAGAAGTATGGTTAAAACATTACCAGTGGAGTGATCAGTTGCTGATTGCTGCATAGCAACTTCCAAAAGCCGGAATGCTTCAGTTACATCTCTTATTTCAACCTTCAAATAACAGAATGGATTTTCATTATTCAGCTCATAATGAAGTCCTTATAGCTGCTAAGATAAACCAGAGATAACTAACCCATTCTGAGAAGCGAATACGAGCCAATGCTTCACTGAGACGTATTAGACTCTCAATTTGCCTTGGTGTTGCTGTGATGATCTGTTGACATATCAAAATACAGAAACAGGGTTAAAAAAATTTGTATGTCAAGATTATACTTGATCCAAGAATGCAAAATGTTGATAGCAATACAGGGTTCTATCTACCAATTACATGAAAGTCAATAATGAAGAGAATCGGGGGACATGAAAACTAAATGCATCATACATTTTTACTGCTGCCAGGGAAATTTCCTCTTTTCCTCATCTCAACATACCCTCGGGTTAGGTCTTCAGCAGCTTCATCAGATAATTTTGGGTTAATATTCTTACGAGCATAACTCACATATGATGTCAATGTAGCAAGATCTATGATATCATGCTCAACAATCTGCAAATTTTTTTGATAAGATTTGAAGGACTCATTAAAAACCACCTTATTGATTAATGGAGTTTGTGTAAACTCCTTAATCAGCGAAAGATAGAAAAGAGTGCCTTAGAACTTTATTAAATAAAGTAGGAATTACAACCTAGAGAAAGAAAACCCAATAACCCTTACAAGTAGCCACTCGAAAAATCAAAATACATAAAATTCAGCCTATACTAACCTTGCTAAGGCATCACCTTCCATATTAGCCGTCCTTGCAACCCATCTAACAATTCCCCCACAAAACCTAAGTTTTACAACTATATCTTTAACAATAAAAGCATACACAACTGGACAAGAATCAACTTTAATAATTCAGTCCACTGCAACCATGCTGTCACTCTCAACAATCAATCGAAAATTTTCCCACCCTTGGATAGATGAGACGAAAACAAATCCCCTTTGAATAGCCTTGAGTTCCTTCAAAGTTGGAGGACCCGGACCCTCTATCTCTTGAAAAGTTTCTAATATTGCACCAAGATGATCCCTTAAAATGCCTCCCAATCCACTTTTCTTCCAATCACTACTAGTGACAACATCCACATTCAGTTTAATGAAGCCTATAGAAGGAGGACACCAGGGAATAATAGAAGACTTCAGGAAGTTGTAGGACGAATGAAAATCCCCTAATGAAGGTTCCGAAATTAACGAGTCTTTAGGAATAGAGATATCCTTATACTTAGCTGGGAACCAAGATGCAAGCCTGGCTCTTGCTAAAAAGAATAATTCAATCTGATCCAACTTTCCCCCTTCAAAAACAATAAAATTTCTGGTTTTCCAAATGGTCCAAATAACAACCTCAGGAATGAATGACCATATAGCAGAATTTGGCTTCAACTCTTCCCAGCCTAATAGAAAAGTTTTAGCAACTTCATGAAGAACAGAACTAAAACTCGACAATTTTAAAAATTTATTCCATAATGCCCACACAACCGAACAAGAAAAGAATAAATGTGAGGAAGACTCTTCAAACTTTTTACAAAGAGGACATAAAACATCATCAATTCCTTGAACTCCTCTTCTTGCCAATTCTATTTTAACAGCAAGCTTTTGCTGCACAATTTGCCACAATAATGTTTCAACTCTTGGTGGTAGTAATCCTCTCCAAACAACCTTCTTCCATAATTGAACCTCTTCAGAACCAGTAACACACTTCTTAATACAAGAACTGACTGAAAACATATCATCCCCACTGCCTTTCCAAATCAAGCCATCACTAGATTCCTTAGACAAAGAAACAAAAGAAATAGTACTCATCAAATTACACCATTGTTCCATCTCCCAATCATTTAAATTTCTTCTAACTTGAACATCCCAAATCTAGCCCGATGGATGAAAATCTCCAAACTCACATAGTTTTCCTGATTTATTAGTAGCAATCAAGAACAATCTTGGAAAAATGACCTGTAACGGATAATCTGTTGCCCAAACGTCCTGCCAAAATTAAATGGGCCTTCCATTGCCAACTTGAAAGATACATAAGGAACGAAAATTAAAACCAAATGGATCTTGCTTGAAATAATTATTAACCACTGATCTCCACTGTCAAGAAGTACAAGCTAGGAGTTTACTGTCAAATAATAACCTAGAAGAATCAAAACTGTATTTAGAACAAATAAATCTCCTCCAAAAAAATTCCTCTCGTTTGCAAATCTCCAGGACCATTTCCCTAGCAAAGCTTTGTTCATGAAATTCAGATTACGTACTCCCAACCCTCCCTCATTCTTAGGTTTACATACTTCAGCCCATTTAACCCAATGAATTTTCTTCTTACCATTGCCACCTCCCCATAGAAAATTAGACATAATAGAATTGAGGACCTTAAGGATTGAAACTGGAATCTTAAACATTGACAGAAAATATGTGGGCAGTGAGCATAAGATAGATTTAATCAAAACCATTCTTCCAGCTAGTGATAAAGTCGATGCCTTCCAACCTGCTAATTTTGAATGAAAATTCTACACCATCGGTTCTCAAATAACTGAGGAATTCTTTGTTGCGCCTAGAGGCAAGCCTAGATAATTATAGGGAAAAATATCCACTGCACAACCAATTGAATCTGCCCAAGTTTGAACCTCCTCTAGAGATGTGTTTACTCCGAACAGTTTGTTCTTCTTGAGATTTAGTTGCAACCCTGACATAACCTCAAACACTCTAAGCACTCTCTTCACATTCATAATATGCATCTTCGAAACCCCACAAAAAATAATTAAATCATCGGCAAATTGTAAGTGTGTAAGGTTAAAAGACCCTTCCTCCTTACCTACTTTCAAACCAGAAGATAATCCTCTAAAACCGCCCTTAGGATTAGTAAATTCAACAATTCCCCTACTAGATTAAATAATAAGGGAGAGAGTGAACAACCCTGTCTTAGCCCCTTTGCCATTGGAAACTCCTCCGTTGAAACCCCATTAACCAACACTGAAATCAAAGTTATAGTAACACACCTCCTAATCCAACTGATCCAAGTAGAGCTAAATCCCATTTTTTCCATTACCTTGAATAAAATAGGCCAATCAATAGTATCGTAAGCCTTTTTGAAATCAACTTTTAATACGCAACCCTTTAGCCCTTTCTTTCTCCAATAATCTATACCCTCGTTTGCAATTAGAGAACAATCCAAAATTTGTCGACCGAGTATGAAAGCAAATTGAGTCGGGCTTATGATATCTCCTATACAACTTCTAAGCCTCCTTGAAAAACACTTGGTTAAAATTTTGTAAAATCCTCCCACTAAGCTTATGGGTCTAAAATCATCAAGGCACCCATTGTTAGTCCCTTTAGGAATAAGGGTGATAAAGGTATGATTAATACCATGCTCCCATTCTTTCCCCAAAGAGAATTTGTGAAAAAAATCCATAATGTTATCCTTTAGCACAAGCCAAAACCTTTTGAAGAAACCCAAATTCAATCTGTCTGGTCCCGGAGCTTTGTTACTATCACAAGACTTTAAAGTCTCCCACACTTCCTCCTCGGAAAAAACCTTCTCTAAAAGACCTCTTTGTTCGAAAGAGATAGTAGGAAAAGTCAACCTTATAGCTTCAACCTCCAATATAGACCTCTCATTGAAAATTTTAAAAAAGTGATTTTTTACAGCAGCTTTGGGTCCCGTGTAAAATTCCCATTCACTTTTAAAACAATCAATGCATTTTATTATCTCTCCTCACCGATACACAAGTATGAAAGTATCTTGTGTTTCGATCTCCATCATTCACCCACCTTTGTCTAGAATTTTGATGCCAAATCAACTCCTCAAATCTATGAAGTCTCCAAAATTCTCTTTTACACGCCTTTAACTCGTCAACAATCTCTTGAATCGAACTGTCATGCCTTTGTTGTGCTACCACCTCAAGCTTTTGAATTTTGTTTTCTAAATCAGAAATTGCAGCTCCCGAAAACTTGTTTTTCTTCCCTGTCCACTGTTTGATGGCTAATTTAGAGTTCTTAAAAATACCAAGAATTCTCAATTTTCTCTTGCGCTTCTTGCAATCTATAATTGTTTGACAAACCATATCCTCAAAACCATCTTCCTCCATCACATAACTGAAGAGTCTAAAAGGCTTATTTCCCCAATTAACACCATCATTTTGTAACAATACGACATTGTGATCTGAGATGGACTTAGGAATAAGAGACTGGATAATCTCAGGAAAAGAAGCCAAGAATTGTCCATCCACCAAGAATCTATCCAATCTAATAAAAGTGGAATCATCTTGGTTATTACTCCAAGTGAACCTTCCCCCCTCCATAGGCAGATTAATTAATCCTACAGACTGAATAAAATGAGAGAAAATCCTTATTGAAACTCTATTATGAGCTCTGCCCATCTTCTCATCTTTACACAAGTAGACATTGAAATCCCCTCTAACACAAACCTGCAAATTCTGTCCCGAAATGAACTGACTAAGTTCTTCAAAAAAGCTTTCTTTTTCCTTCTCCACAGAAGGCCCATACACATTAATGAGGACGCTTCTGAACTGATTAAATCTGAATTTTCCTGTAATCGCAATGAATCTTCTATTTATGCAATGATCTTCACTCTCAAAAACTTTATCATCCCAACAAAATAATAACCCCCTGAAGAACCAATAGCTGACGGTTCAATAACCCCTTGAAAACTATTTAACATGTTTCTTCTTAGAAAATACCTTTGTATCTTCTCTGCTTTAGTTTCTTGTAGCCAAAAAAAAGAAGGATGCGAGTTTGCAACTAATCTCTGCACCGCTCTCTGTTTTTCCTTTTTACCCAAACCCCTTAAATTTCATGTAATTATTGCTAAGTTTTCCTTCATGGATAATAACAGAACAATCTCAAAACCTCGATATGACTCTCAATTAGCCATATTACAACCTTTCTCTAAGTTAATTATTTTTTCCAAAAAAGCTTCATTCCCCTGCTTGAAGGAAACCCCCAAAATCTGACTAACTTGCCATGTAGCAATTGCTTCATCTAAGAGGTATGAGAAGACTGAAGAAGCTGCTATAGAAATACTGACTTGATCTATAGTTTCCCTAAACAATAATCTTTTAACTCTTCTACTTGTCAAGCGAGAATTGGAAAGAAAATGTTATTTATCCAAATCACATCCTCCATACTCTCCATCTAAACCTCCACCACCAGATTCCAGGACTGAATTTGGATCCTCACAATCTAGTAAATTAAGCCTTGATGTATTATAAATTTGCTGAATAAATGAGAAAAACTGATCTTCAACCATTTTTGAATCTGAAACAACCTCATTGGCAATATTTCCCTTATATTCATTCCCATGCCAGTAATTCCTCTCCCTACTTCTTCTATAAACTCTACTATAACATGGCATTCTCATCTTCTCTATAGGCACACTCTTGGAAGAATGCGAGCTTCTGTGCACTGTCAACGAACGACCTCTGGAATGGCCTTTTAATAATTCTAAATTAGAAACAAACACATTCCAAACATCAATGACCTTGGCAACATAAACAATCAATCCAACAACAGAGCTCCATCTTCCACTGGTGTAAATGCCACGAGGAGCAAGCTTGTGTATGTATTGGAGTAACTGGGACTTGTTGGTTCCAGGATCACCAACCAGAAGGATATTGATGTCACCACAGAAGCTAGCACCATATAGCAACTTAAGAGCATTCCCGCCAAAAAGCTACATTGAAGACAAATAACTAGTTATTACTATCTGAGCAAAAAATGAATGTCTAATGTCAAAGACGTACCTGGAAAAGAAGGCCTTTGTTCACATTATCAAGCTCCCAAATGTTGGGTACCAATGACCTAGTTAGTTTTTTATATATATCTAGTTGTTTTGATAACTCTTTCAACTTTTCCACCTGCAGTATTGAAAAAGGTTATGAGAAAAGTAGCCAATATAATTGAATTTTGCAAGAGAAGAATGGGTTATTTATTAGACCTTGTCTTCATCAAACTGGACATCATCATCGACCCTTTGTGAGCCCTTATCAGTTTCCATAGGGTCCACAGTCATCATTCTCGACTTATCAATTTTCTTTATGTGAAGACAATCAATGTGTGTATGCAAGCAAAGAAATTTTTGTAAACATATTTAAATACTTGGAGAGCTATAAACCTTACAAAAGCATAAGAGAAAACATGCCTTGAACAGTGATTTCACAGTTCTTTGTGTTGGCCCGACTCGGACACTCATAGCCCTATAAATGCCGGTGACCTAATGCAATAGACAAGAATACTGAGCAAACAAATAAAACAACCAGGCTATTTGTGATCACGCAACATAGTTCTTAAGTGTCTAACCTCAACCCTGTCACCAGGTTTTCTAGCATCCACTAGCTTATCATACATCAACAAGCTCACTATGTGTGGCGTCACTCCATCAGGGATCTCATCTAGTGTCTCCTGGAGCCTCACAATCTGCTTATCAGCAAACCTGATGTTTGGGACATAGAACCGATTAGTTTTGGTCTCATAATAACTCAAATAGGCATAAATGTTTGACCCTAAAGTAACCATAAAATCAAACCTACTTGTATAAGCATGATCAAATAAAAAATGAATTTAACAATGACTAAACACACCTATAAAAGAAGAAATTAACCTTTGAAAAAGGTCTTAACATCGATGCGACTAAGAAAATTCACTTATTGTAAAACCTACTAAACATTATACTGGTAGTTACCTGCATCTATTGTGAACCAACGTCATTGAGTTCTTGGCCATACACTCATGCTTCAAGCATGAAGTAGGCTCAGTTATTCGTCCTTATAGCACCATTGACCAGTAAACAAATACATTAGCAACATTACTCCAAAAACCAAACTTGTTAAAGGATCATCAGAAAGATCAATTACCTCTATCAACAACAACAGGATCAGAATGATAGCCGCAAACAATACACCTGAACATTGCTTCCCTAATCTCAGGAATTATTGAACTACATCTGATAACCATCCCTTTTAATGACACCATCTTCTCAATATCTAAACCAATAAAAAACCCAAATTAATACAACACACAGACACGCACAAATGCAAAATCTATGCAAAATAAAAGAGAACTGACCGGATGGGTTGAGATTTCTCATGGAAGTAGAACACTTCAGATTATGAGTCCAAACTTGCACATGTTTATCGAACAGAGGATTAATCAAACTAACGAGGTCCGTCAAGACGATATCAAAAATCGCTAAAACCTCGAGGGGATACCTCATCATTTTGTTATACAAATCACAATCATAATTAAAAACATCATGAGCATCAACGTCTATACATTCTCCTTCAACTTCAAGAACTCTATGTATCATTCTCGTATATTTCCCTTCTCCATAGATATCATTGTGTTGAAAACATTTTGATGTTTTGATATAACAAATTAAATTAAAAGAATTTTAATTTTGAAAAAGATTTTTTCTAAGCATATTCGATATATTAAATCGAATATCAAAATATTACTCAAAGTATTTCAAAGTTCATTTTAAATCCTTACTCAAGTGTAAAATTAAGTTTTAATCTTAAAATAATTTCAAAACGATTTTACAAAATATTTCGAACCATTTCAAAGCCAAAAATTCCAGATTGCTCAGAGGGAACCGATTCCCCCTAAGGGGGTACCGATTCCCCCTGAATGGTTTGGCTCCGAGAATTCCAGTATACTCGGAGGGAACCGATTCCCCCCACTGTTCAACGGTCGAAATATTTGAATTTTACACCTAGGGAACCGATTCCCCATTAGGGGTATCGATTCCACCCACACTCCAAGTAGAAATATTAATTGTTTTCACACTTAAACGGCTTCAAAAACTTCATTAATGATCCCAAACATTCAGAAGTGATTCAAGGTGTATTTAAGCAAGCTTAGAATCCATTAATCAAAAACAAGAAACATCAAGCAACTAGAATCAAGAGAGAATCAAAGAGAAAGTATCAAACCTCAAGTTTGAGCATTTCAAGCCTATCTTTCATTCAATATTCATTTTTCTTTCAAGAACACTTATTGTGCTCAATTGTATTCATTCTTGAGTGTTCTTTTCTTTGTTCTAGAATTGTGCAAACAATCTACCTTATGAGGATTTCCTTATAAGTTTGCAAATTTGTATTGTTCTCTTTGGGAGAGAGTGTTCTCAAGAATTTGGGGTATAATTCTTGAGGGTTTGTAAGATTACTCTTTGTCCTCAAAAGAAAGACAAATTAGTGAATTTTTGGAAAATCCTCAGTGTGAGTAGCTAAGGTAGTGGACGTAGACTTTGGTTGAGAAAGTCGAACCACTCTAAATCGCTATGCAAATTTCTTTCAATTTTCTGCAAAAGCTTCTACCATAATTTTAATTGCCAATTCACCCCCTCTTGCCCATATTCGTCAATCGATTAACTCAACAATTGGTATCAGAGCCTAACTTATTTAAAGGTTTAATCGCCTCTTGAGTCGATTCGGGAAGATTTACATCGATAATCAAAGTCATCAATGGCCTCTACTTCAAACTTCGACTCCGGTCTCAATTCGATGCCCGCCAATAAGCCTCATTTCTTCAATGGGTCTAACTATGCCTATTGGAAAAATAGGATGATGTACTTCATTCAAGCAAGTAACATGGGAGCATGGAATGTCGTAAAAGAATGATACATCAAGCCTCTCACTCATCCAAAATTATGGAGTGGGTGGAGTGAAGAAGAGACAAAAATGTTCCAGCTCAACTCCAAAGCCATCCATATCATATTTTGTGCTCTTGGACTAGATGAATACGTAAGAGTTTCATCTTGTACACCGTCAAAGAAATATGGGACAAACTTCAAGTCACTCATGAAGGTACCGATGAGGTAAAGAAATCTAAAATTAGTATTCTAACGCATAGTTATGAAAATTTTAGGATGAAACCAAATGAATATATCAAAGTTATGACGGATAGATTTTCAACGATTGTCAATGGTCTCAAATCATATGGAGAGATCATTTCAAATGAAAAGCTTATGAGGAAGTTAATCTACTCACTTCCAAAATCGTGGCAATCAAAGAAGATGGTAATCATCGAGTCTAAGGACCTAACGTCCTTAACTCTTGAAGAGCTAATCTGTTCACTCCTCACTCATGAAATGATGCTTGAAGATGAGGTGGACCTTGATAAGATTGAAGAGACCAAAGGAAAAGGAGAAGAAGAAAAACATTGGAGTTGCTCTCAAATCCACAAAAGATGAGAGTGATTCGGATGAAAATGACGATGATGAGGAAATGGCATTGTTTGCCAAACGGTTCAGAAAAATGATGAGACCTTACCGAGGGAGAAAATTCAAACGAAATGAAGGCCTAAAAATGAACCAAAATAGAAGGACCCGATCATTTGCTATGAATGCAAAAAGCCGGGGCATGTGAAAAATGATTGCCCACAATTGAATAGAAAGGTCAATCAAAGAATAAGCACAAGGCTCATGTGGCTACATGGAGCGATGAAGAAGGTTCCGATGAAGAAGAACAAGAAGTACCAAACTTGTGCTTGATGGCATTCGGGGAAGATTCTAAGGTAACCTCTAACTCATCTGATTTTGATGATATATCTTATGATGAGCTATTAGAGGAATATAATAGGTTGACTTCGGATTATGAGAAATTGTTTTTAAAATATAAAAATGATGTTTCAAAATTGAAAAATGAAAATAAACTCATATCCAAAACCAACAACGATCTTGAAAGTAAAATCAAAGATTTGCAAATCAAACTAGAAAAGTTTGAAAAGAAAAATTTGGATTTGCAAAATTTACTTTCAAAGGTCAATGATGATCATCAAAAGAAAATTGATGATCTTAAAGCTTTTTTTGATAAAGTTGGAACAAAACATTTTGGAAATGGAGAAAATTCAAAATCCAACTTTGTTAGAAAAAGTTTTAAAAACTACAATCATAGAGGTCCCCAAAGAATCTCTAATGGAAAAATTGTTAGAAGTATATGGGTTCCTAAAGAGCTCATTACTACTAAAGATAAGAATATCCTACACAAATGGATACATAAGGGGACTAGGATTTTGGAAACTAATGGATATGGACCCAAAAGAAATTGGGTACCAAAAATTAGAAATTAATCTATGTTTGTAGGAAAAGGAGTATTGCTACAAGGCACGGGAAACAAATCCAAATTCATGGTACCTTGATAGTGGATGCTCAAGACACATGACCGGAGACAAAAGCCGGTTCATTGAGCTTAACGCCAAAAATAGAGGAGAAGTGACTTTTGGTGATGATTCAAGAGGTCACATTGAAGGTATTGGTACTATTGGTAATACCTCTTCCATACAAATTAAGAATGTTTTATATGTGAATGGATTAAAACATAATCTCTTGAGTATTAGTCAATTATGTGATAAGGGATTCAATGTCATATTTGAAACTAATAGTTGTAAAGTCATTGACATTGCATCTAATAGGATTATGCTTGTTGGTCATAGAATAGGAAACATATACATGGTGCATTTAGACTCTATAGAAATGACTAATTTATGCCTAGTTACAAAGGATGAGCATGATAGTTGGTTATGGCATATGAGACTAGGGCATGCTAGCATGAGTGTTTTGCAACGGTTAGTTCAAGGAGAATTGGTTCGAGGGCTGCCTAAACTAAAATTTGATAATGATAAAATCTGTGATGCTTGTGCTAAAAGAAAACAAAAGCGAGTTTCTTTTAAATCCATTAATGACGTAACAACTAGTAGAGTATTAAAATTGATCCATATAGATCTTTTTGGGCCAACTAGGACTACTAGCTTGGGTGGAAAACAATATGCATTTGTCTTGGTAGATGACTATTCTAGATATACTTGGGTTCTATTTTTAAGTACTAAATATGAAACATTTCATCATATTTCCAAAAATAATCCAAAACGAAAAAGGTTACTCTATAACTAGTGTCAGGAGTGATCATGACACTGAATTTGAAAATCTTGGATTTATTGAGTTTTATAATTCTAATTGTATTAGCCATAATTTTTCAGCACCTAGAACCCCTCAACAAAATGGAGTTGTTGAGAGAAAAAATCGAACTTTAGAAGAAATGGCTAGAACCATGCTTTGTGAAAATAATTTGCCAAAATATTTTTGGGCGGAAGCCACAAATACCGCTTGTTATGTTGTAAATTGAGTAATGATTAGGCCAATTTTAAAGAAAACTCCATATGAAATTTTAAAAAATAAAAAGCCTAACATTAGCTATTTTCATCCTTTTGGATGTAAATGTTTGGTTTTGAACAACGGTAAAGAAAACCTTGGCAAATTTGATGCTAAAAGTGATGAATGAATTTTTCTGGGTTATTCCTTAAATTCTAAAGCTTATCGAGTATTTAATAAAAGAAATTTAGTTGTAGAAGAGTCTATACATGTTATTTTCGATGATAATCCCCTTCCGAGGAAGGATTCTTGTGTGAATGATGATGTAGGTATTATAAATACAAATGAAGTTAGACATGACGTTGAAGAACCATCATCAAAGGAAGAAACAAAAGATGAGGAAACTCATGATCCTCTTGAGAATCTAACCATTGAAGAAAGGGAAGTATCTTATCCAAGAGAGTACAATTATGTCAAGGATGGTGAGATTATAGGTGATCCATCCAAAGGGGTAACAACTCGATCTTCTCTTAGAAATATTTGTAATTATGTTGCGTTTATTTCATGCATAGAGCCTAAGAATATTAAAGAAGCATTAAAAGGTGAACATTGGATTATGGCTATGCAAGAAGAATTAAATCAATTTGAGAGAAGTAAAGTATGTACATTAGTTGAAAGGCCTAGTAATAAATCTACTGTAGGTACTAGATAGGTATTTAGGAATAAGCTTGATGAGAGTGGTAATATAGTGAGAAAAAAGGTTAGACTTGTTGCTCAAGGGTATACTCAAGAAGAGGGCATAGACTATGATGAAACATACGCTCCCGTAGCTAGGATGTAAGCAATTAGAATGTTATTAACATTTTCATGTTTTCATGAATTTAAACTATATCAAATGGATGTTAAAAGTGCATTTTTAAATGGTTTTATAAAAGAAGAAGTGTATGTGGAACAACCTCCAGGTTTTGAAGATTCAAAATTTCTGGATCATGTTCTTAAATTGACAAAAGCATTTTATGGATTAAAATAAGCTCCTAGAGCTTGGTATGAAAGACTGTTAAATTTTTTAATTAAAAAAGGTTTTTCAAAAGGGAAGGTTGACACTACATTGTTTTTAAAGCATAAAGGTAAAGATTTATTAGTAGTTCAAATTTATGTTGATGATATAATATTTGGTTCTACTAATGATGTTCTTTGCCAAGAATTTTCTAAGCTAATGCAAAACAAATTCGAAATGAGCATGATGGGGAGCTCTCATTTTTCTTGGGACTCCAAATCAAGCAAAGAAAAGATGGCATCTTCATCAATCAAGCTAAGTACGTCAAAGATATGCTCAAGAAGTTTGGACTGGAAAATTAGAAACCTCATGACACTCCAATGAGCTCTTCTACAAAGCTTGACTTGGATGAAGGAGGTAAATGTGTAGATGTTAAATTATATAGGTCAATGATTGGATCTCTACTTTATCTAACTGCAAGTTGACCGGACATTATGTTTAGTGTTTGCTTATGTGCTAGATTTCAATCATGCCCTAAGGAATCACATTTACTAGCTGTTAAGAGAATCTTTAGATACCTTAAGGACACTCCTAGTTTAGGACTTTGGTATCCTAGAGACTCTAGCTTTAGCTTTCATGCCTTTTCTGATGCGGATTATGGAGGATGCAAATTAGATAGGAAAAGCACCTCTGGTACTTGCCAATTCCTTGGAAATATGATGATTTCTTGGTTTTCAAAGAAACAAAATTGTGTTGCATTATCTACCACTGAAGCCGAATACATTTCAGCTGGTAGTTGTTGTGCACAAGTTTTATGGATGAAACAACAACTTTTTGATTATGGAATTGAAGTAGGTACCATTCCTATCAAGTGTGACAATACTAGTGCTATTTGTCTCACTAAAAATCTCATCCAACACTCTAGAACTAAGCACTTTGAAATAAGACATCACTTCATTAGAGACCATGTCACTAAGGAAGATATAGTTCTAGAATTTGTTGATACTTTGCATCAATTAGCGGATATCTTTACAAAACCTTTAGATAAGGAACGTTTTTGGACACTTATGAGAGAATTAGGTTTAACTGACCTATCTTCACTCAGTGTTTAAAATAATTTTAGCACTTTTAAGACTAAATGAAAAATGCTTATAATAGTAATTTCTGATTACATTCATTTCTATTAGTTAGGGGGAGTTTATGATTTTTGATGAAAAATTAACTTTATGTTCAAATGTAGTTTAAGGATTAATTTGATTGATTGAACATAATTAATTTTTGATATATGAGTTGCCAATACCACTAGAGAAGATTAATTTAGCATTTTTAGTGTTTAAAATATAGATTTTTAAATTATAGGGCAGAGGGAATCGATACCCCCCTGGGGTTCTGGTTTTTACGGGCAGAACACCCTAATTTTTCCTCAAACCCTCAATATTTCTTCATTCACACCGTTCTCTTCCCCTCTCTCTCCTTATCTCCTCTTTGCTTCATAACATCGAATTTTAGTCAGAATTTCATCATATTTCAAATCCTAAACCTGCTAGCATCATTAAAATCGTTCAAACAACATCAAAATCCACTCAATCTCATCTTTCAAGGTAAATTTTTCTAAACTTTCTATTTCATTGATTTTGAACATATGACTAGTTTCAAATAGTTCTAGATAGAAATAGTGATCGGGCATTGATTGTTTAGTGATTAGAAACTTGATTTTACAACTAATTTCATCAAAAACACAAGAATTTTCCAAAATTCTTTGAAATTTTTTAAATAAAAAAAATGTTTTTCAAATTATTGTGTTTTGATTGAATTATGTTGCTGTTATGAAAACTTCACATATACTGATTTTCAATACCTTATTTTTCAATAGTTTTAAAAAATTTACCCATTAGGTTTGGTTTAGGGAACCTTGAAATATTGAGAACTCAATTGAGTTTTGGGATTAATTGAATTGCATACATGTGTTTTCTAAATTGCAGGTTATCCATTCTATTCTGATTTCCTAAACAATGTCCAATCCTAAACGTGCTAGGTCATCATCTAGTCGCTCAAACCGTCAACCAAATCCACCTCCAAATCCTCCTCATATTCCTGAAATTCTAATTCCTAATCCTAATCCCATTGATCCTAATATGACTATCCAAAACTTGTGCTTCAATTATCCTGGTCCTAGAAATCATCATTTTTGGTATTATCAATATTTTGACTCTTACAAAATTAGAGAAGAACGTATCCCTTCTCGTCAAGCTATGATAGATATCAATTTTAGATATCTTCCTCTTTTAGAAGAGTGGAAATTTGATAAACTTTGTGACCTTGAACCTATAGTTTACCATCAACTTGTTTGCATATTCTATTCTAATGCCGTGTGTGTTAAAAACCGAGCTCAAACCAAAACCATAGCAGTTCGTTCCTATCTCCTAGGATAATTCATCCATCTTGACTCGACTTACATAGCTAATGAATTAGGATTAGATAATGATGGTATATCAAATGAAAAACAACTTTTAGGTTCTCAGTATAAAAGAATGGATAGTGCGAGTGTCTTAGATCTTCATGATCGTTTTCTTCATCTAATGATTTCTTGGTGGTTTCGACCATCCGGAGACCGTTACTCTACTCTTCGTGCTTTAGATATTTGGTGGTTACATTGTTTCCAAAACAGTATTAAAATAAATCTTCTTGGGATTATTTTTGCTGAAATAAACTTAGTGCCAAATAAGAAACTTTGTTCCTCTCTAGTTTATGGTTGCATTATAAGTAATCTATTTTCTAAAGCCGGGCTTAGAGTAGGTCTAGATGTCGCCTTTCCTCTCAAGAAACAAATTAATCTTCTTTCCTTAACGAGAGCGGGATGGATAAAGAATAAGGACACCAGTGAATGGGTTTGATCTTCTGAAAATACTCTGGGAGCTAGCTCTTCTCAAGCTCCTCCAGTAGATGACGACGATCCCGAGCTTGAACAATTAATGCGAGATATCGATGAAGCCGAAGATGATCCTGAGCAGCCCGAGGAGCAAGCACAACAAACTAATCAAATGCCTCCATATTTTCAATCTTTTATAGAGACATTCGATTTCTGATATGCTACCATAGATTCGCGCTTTTCTTCTATAGAGTCTCATTTATCCACAATGGGAGCTCAACAATTGGAAATTCTTTGGGAGATGCGTGCAAACAATGAAGCAACCAACGCTCGTATTAATGAACTCACTCATGAAATGGCCGCTATACGAGCTCGTTTTCCTCCTCCCGATCCTCCTACGGATGCTTGATTCTGTGTTTTGCTTTAGTACTTTGAACTTAAAGCTTATTGTTTAAACATTTTGAATGTTTTTGGATTGTTTTCTTTTTGTTGTTGGATATTTGAACTTATGGATTATAGATGTTTGAACTTATATATTTGGTGTGGTTAAATTTCTTCATTATTGCATCATTTACATCATGTTAGATATATGACCAATTTTCCATGTCACATTGTTTATGAATATTGATTATGAAACTAATGGCTAACGTTTCTCTTGATTGTGATCTTAGCAGCTTAAACTATATATATATAATCAATTGGCTAAATGATTTCAAAACCTTGTTTAAATTCTTTTACAAATCTTTTTGATTTAACAAAAAGAGGGAGAAATGTTATTAAATTAAAAGTGAAGTTTTTGAAGAGGAGTAGTGTTAAAGTAAGGGGGAGTAGTATTTTTCAAAATCAAAATTCATTTTGAAATTAGAAAATCTTAAAATGTTTTGTTATATCAAAAAGGGGGAGATTGTTGAAAACATTTTGATGTTTCGATATAACAAATTAAATTAAAAGAATTTTAATTTTTAAAAAGATTTTTTCTAAGCATATTTGATATATTAAATCGAATATCAAAATATTATTCAAAGTATTTCAAAGTTCATTTTAAATCCTTACTCAAGTGTAAAATTAAGTTTTAATCTTAAAATAATTTCAAAACGATTTTACAAAATATTTCGAACCATTTCAAAGCCAAAAATTCCAGATTGCTCAGAGGGAACCGATTCCCCCCCAAGGGGGTACCGATTCCCCCTGAATGGTTTGGCTCCGAGAATTCCAGTATGCTCGGAGGGAACCGATTTCCCCCCCAAGGGGTACCGATTCCCCCCACTGTTCAACGGTCGAAATATTTGAATTTTACACCTATGGAACCTATTCCCCATTAGGGGTACCGATCCCCCCACGCTCCAAGCAGAAATATTAATTGTTTTCACACTTAAATGGCTCCAAAAGCTTCATTAATGATCCCCAACGTTCAGAAGTGATTCAAGGTGTATTTAAGCAAGCTTAGAAGCCATTGATCAAAAACAAGAAACATCAAGCAACTAGAATCAAGAGAGAATCAAAGAGAAAGCATCAAACCTCAAGTTTGAGCATTTCAAGCCTATCTTTCATTCAATATTCATTTTGCTTTCAAGAACACTTATTGTGCTCAATTGTATTCATTCTTGAGTGTTCTTTTCTTTGTTCTAGAATTGTGCAAACAATCTACCTTGTGAGGATTTCCTTGTAAGTTTACAAATTTGTATTGTTCTTTTTGGGAGAGAGTGTTCTCAAGAATTAGGGGTATAATTCTTGAGGGTTTGTAAGGTTACTCTTTGTCCTCAAAAGAAAGACAAATTAATGAATTTGTGGAAAATCCTTAGTGTGGATAGCTAAGGTAGTGGACGTAAACTTTGGTTGAGAAAGTCAAACCACTCTAAATCGTTGTGCAAATTTCTTTCAATTTTCTGCAAAAGCTTCTACCAAAATTTTAATTGCCAATTCACCGCCCTCTTGGCCATATTCGTCAATCGATTAACTCAACACATTGCTTAATTCTTGTGGGTCTCTGAAATGTTTGATGAACATTTGAATTGCATTTTTCACATCATGGACGCTAATATTCGTACCCCAAACGAAGGTAGGAGTGACCTCCTCCATATCGTCACCACCATCTGAAGATGGCGGCGGGAAATCGTCCGTGGAGGATGGAGTGGTAGCAGCAGGAGGAGTCGGGTTGTAGCGGATGCACGGCAGCCACGCTTGGTGGATCGGGATGGAGTTGGAGTAAATGCTGAGTTAGCAAAACGAGAAGGGTTTGGAGGTGGGGTTGCGGCGGCAGCGGAAGGAGTGGGGGCTTGACGACGGCCACGTCGGCGGCGATGAGTTGGTGAAGAGGTGTTAGGGATAGGACTTGAAAAGGAATCATCAGCAGAGGAAGGACCTGAAACAATTATTAAGATTTAAAAAAATAATAACCTACCAAATTAGAGTTTAAATATAGGAAAATAATCAAGGCGTCGAAGAGAGAAAGAGTATTACCGTTGTTGAAATTAGCGGGAGAAGAATCTGAAGCCATGTCTAAGAGAAGAAGAAGAGAGGCAAAAACTACGGGGGCAGATTTCTCTGAGACTGAAGTGAGGAAAAAAGAATGGTATTGCATGCTCCTTGGGTAAAGGATACCTTATTTGGCGGGAAATGTAGATTATTTTCGCGCCATATTTGGTGTCGACTTATGGTCTTACGTTTGGGGTTTTTTGCAACACTCGAGGTTACAGGTCGTTGCTACTGAGCTGGACTTCATAGCCCATTATATATATTATGAATGAAAAATATAAAATATATTTAAAATTATTAATTATATTCAATAATTTTCTTTTAAAAACTAGGTTCAATAATTTAATAATAATATTTTATTTATAATATATATATTTAAAATGTATAATAAAAAAATAAAATATGAAGTCTCATCTAATGATTAAAAAACATTAAAAATTAAAAATCCTAAATATAATTAAAAGCTATGTAATTACTAGACACTAAAAATATATATATATAAGACATAAAAATAAAATTTAGAAGGTTAAAATCCCCTCTTTACTCTTTTTATTTTATTCTAAAAGCTCTTAAAAATGAATGTTACAATGATAAAATCTCCATGTTACTTATTTGGTAAATTATGTACTTAGTCATACAGCTTTTATCACATTTTTATTTTAGTTACCTAACTTTATAAACTTATGATTTTATCATTCAAATTTCATTTTTTGTGACCCATCATTTAGTTGTCCAATGATAGTAGGAAAACGTTATGTTTTGGGTAATTTTTGTTTATGAAATTGACCTGACGTTTCACACTTCTTTCCCATGGCGAACAACATTCTCCATCAACATTTGACTATTGTTAATCATTGTTTGTGACATGGTTGGTACTAAAACATCCCTTTCCCCTTCCTTCTTTTTTATAAGCTTGATTTTTCTCGAAATAGACAAAAATCATATAAAAATTTCAATGTTAACTTGGTTTGATTTACACTATCCATCGTATGACCATCATAAAATTGAGATATATCATTTTTAACCTCATTCTCAACCTCTTTATTTTTTAGATTCAAAAGAAAATATCCTGACATTAGTGAAAAAAAAGGGATTCAAAAATTTTAGATCTTAAAGAAAAGCTTCAAGGTTTTTTTTAATAAATTGACACAACAAAATTTAAACAACATTAGACACTTAATGACTATGTGATAAAAAAGAATGAAGTTCAAAAGTTGATAATAAAATAATAAGCTTTTAAAGTTAGGTGACCAAAATATAAATAAAGATAAAGTTGAGTGACAAAGAACATATTTTATTATTTTTGATGTCGCTTTTTTTAATGACCTAAACTAAATTATACATGCACTCACAAAAGAGGGGGGGGGGGGGATCCTCAGGAGCTTAGCTCATGATTTGTTGCTATACATAGCTATGGGCGATTCAAGTGTCAAAATTTGATTGAATTAATCAACTAAAGATGCGCCCAGCTCCAAACTAAGTTATATATATATATATTTGTAATTTAATGGGTAAAATAAAAAAACAGTCTCTCGACTACGTGTTGTTGCTTTATTTAGTCCCTTGACTATTGAAGTTACAAAATGATCTTCCGACTATAGGGCACTATTTTGTTGAGTCATTGATTATCAAAAGTTATAAAATAGTCATTTGACTATTTATATATTCCAAAATCATTTTTTTTGTTTACAAAAATTAGCGATCGTCTGAGGTGGACATTAACCTGCTGATCATTGGATATGATAAAATCTAATCCTAGAATTATTTGAGTTGTATTTTGTGGATTGAGTCTCTATTTATATTATGTCATCAAGTCAGTGCTTGAAACACTATGATATCGAGCTAGTGTTTGAAAGCAACGCAGTGCCGGTAGACATTATTAAAATATAATTTTATCATATCTCGATTAGTAGGTTAACGTCCAGTTCATACAGCTGTAAATTTTTAACAAAAATGATGAGTTTGAAATATATCAATAGTTGTGTGATCATTTAATAACTTTTAATAATCGGATGACTCAACAAAATAATATGTACTTATAGTAAGGGATCAATATATAACTTTAATAGTCGATGAATTTAAGAAAAGTAGCATCTTATAGTCGAAGTATCATCTATGTAGTTTACCCAAATTTCATTCATGTGTTTTAAATATATTACGACTGATTTAGACTTATTTGATATACTTATACTTCAATAACCCGAAGTTTACATATCAATTTATACTTTGAACAATAGCGTTTTTTTTGCGCAATTAATCCTGATGAATCTCATATACTGAGCAACAACAAGTGATCAGCTACTATGACCAAACAGTAAGGGTTTTCTACAAGATTTTTTTCCCTTTTCCCCTCGAATACAAAGAGTTAATAAGGTTTTGGACGAAGGAAAAATTGGGCACCAGCTGACACGAAAGCATTATAGGGAGATGCATATGCAAAAGGAACAAGTGTTTCTGCAGTAACCAAAGCAGTCGCAGTTTCTGTTCTTGTAGTAGCAGCAGCCATTGTTAGAGCCGCTGCAGAACCGATTTCATTTGCCTGCTGTTGCTGCTTATGTCCCTTGAGAAGAGCATTCCCCTAGTTCTTGATGAGGGTCATGATCATAGAGAATACCCTTAAACACATGACCGCCAATATTCACACTTGTCAGATAACCATACTGATCACCTCCATCTTCACTGGAGCTTACTCGAACACATCGAAACGTCGCCTGAGAAGTCACTTTAGTTGGAAAATCCCTCCCTTCTAGCCCTAAACAAGGACACCCAATAAAAAAAACTCTTCACAATATTAAAAGAGATAAAAGGGCTGCTAGGGTTCCAATATTCATCAACACAAAAGATGATATATAGTACCTGAAGAAGGATTTTGTCTTTGTCTTTTAGGGTTCCTTCTATAGGCAGGAACCCAAGTGCTTGTGACATGAGTTTGACATTCAAATCCTTTGCTTCTGCAGCAAGTCCGGCACCTCATGAACCCACAATCTCTCTTAGCTTTGTTGCCACACTCTTGACACCTCGTGCTGCCACCAAACCCTGCTTGCCTCGACATCATCATCGTTGTCGTCAATTCATTCAAACTGTTGGGTGGTGTTTTATACATCTTGAAGAGGTGTGCGTTCATGGGAGTTTCGGTCATGGTTTTCTGAGTTCATAGGTAATCTAATTCCCTGGGATTTCTTATATTTCTTTTTTCGGTGTAAAGCCGTGAACCTGAGCAAAGGAATCGGCGAACGAGAAGGAAAATTGATGAAGACGATGGTATGTAATCGGTATATTCAGATAGGTTCCCAAGGCTACAATGGAAGTGTTCATGTATATACAGGCAAAACTAGCTACTCTAGAAGGCTCGAACTGCCACTAACAGACTGCTATCCATTCAAGTTTTTAACAGATTAATTATATTTAAAACATCAATTTTGTCTACGTAATTGTTTTATCACTTTTTGATATTTTATTATTTTCGTAAAGTTTTATATATATATTTTTTATGATTTTGATACTTAATGACATGGAACCATATATAATTATTTTATTGGTCAGTTTATTAGTTAATGATTAAAATTAATTAAAAGTAAAAACTTTGATCGAAAAGTTCAATTAATTCGTGTCCTTAGACTCCTACTATTTTCAAGTGTCCTTTGGAAATTTGTGTCATCGAAGAGAAATATGAGATTTAGTCTTTTGCTTTGGTGTAGAAATAAGTTTGTTTGGACGATCCATGACACAATCCATTTTAAACAAGTTATTGAAGTTATTCTTTAATATTGAAATATTAGCTGATTACTGAGGATTTCTTTCGAATAAAATTTAAAAGTTTATATATTAAGATGTTTTTTATTTTATAAAATGACTCAATGTCACTTAGTTGAATAATACATCTTAACTAGATGGTGAGAACTCAAGATACATTTACTTTAACGAAAATAACACAATTAATAAAATTTTATATAGATCAAATATAAGACTTTTTAATAATTTCAATATTTCATTGATTAATTGCAATCGAAATCAACTTAGGATTCTTAATTTATGATGATATTTATTGTTTATTTAAAATATTTTGATATAGCCAAAATTTATTTATTATTTATCTTATTCAATCTTTTAGATTAAATTAAAAATGAAATTATGTAAAAGTATTCCTGTATTTACCTCTAGCACTATGTCTAGATAAATTTTAGGATCTTTCTAATCTATAAATAAGCTCTCCTAGTTTGACTCTTGTCCTATTGTTGATGTTGAACTAAGTATAAGAAAGGAATCATCCTATGAATACGACGTCATTTGTGAGCAGCAAGGAGAACTTGTGAGTTATATTTAAAAAGAAACTTGTTCATAGAAATCTTTAAAACACATCTCCTCCAAAACAACTCTACTTTGATAAAATTCATTTTTTTTTTGAGGAGATATGGAAAATAAGTTACCTTAATTGAATAAAATCGAGAGTAAAGAGACTAAAAAAGATAAAAATCAAATTAATTATCCAAATTTAGTAAGAAAAAAAACTTAAGATAAAATTAAAAAGATTTTTAAAAGGAAAAAATAGTGCTTGTTTTTGGACTATTCATAACATTAATTTGTTTAGTAGTGTTGTTCTTTTCTTATAAAAATTTATAGATCCATTACGAGGATTAGTTGATTAGAAATGATTTTTGGAACGAAATCCGAGCATTTATAGGTTAAGATGTCGTTTTATAAAATGATTGGTTGTTACTTAGCTTCCTAACACAACTTAGAGTGCTTCAATCAGACATTACTCTAGATACATTCAATTAGTAAAGAGATCACGATCAAAAAAGTATATACGAGTTCAGTACGTGATTTTTTTAATAATTATAACTTTTAAATATTTTTATTAGTTATTTGTAATTAAATTCAGTCCAAGATGCTTAAGATGTATTTTGAATAGTTTAGGATTATAACAAAATTATTTTTATCTTTATCATTATATCTAGTTGAATTTTAGAATTTTCCTAGCCTATAAATAGGCTCCTTTCATTCGTAATATACACATCATTCATAAATATCAATTTTTAGTTTCAAAAGTCTCTTTGAGAGCTTTAAAAAAAAATAACCCAAAAAGTTAAGTGAGTAAAACATATTTTTAAATATTGATCAAACTAAGCCTTGTTCCCTCCAACTTTTAGGTTAAATCCTAAAGGGATACATGTCTTTTTGAAGTTAAACAAATTAATCTCTCATGATATTTAATCCTAATTTCGTCCTTAAAAATTTATAGCCATCCCTTCCATCAATATTATATTCAAAATTTAAACATACGTTCTCTTATTAGAAATTCAATATATCTTATCATAATTTTCAACTTATGTGGTTGATCAAATAATAATAGTGTGTATCCCATTTCTTTCATTTTCATTTTCATATTCATATTCATAGATATATATATATATATATATATATGGGTGTCGGTAGCCTTCCAGTTTCTTCCATTTGTCCTTGGCTATTGTATCTTACAAAACATCCTGTTTTTCGACCTTTCGGCTCTCCTTAAAGTCCCCTATTGATTGCTTTTTACTTAAAAGTATCGTTGCCCTAAACGACAAGTCTATATGGGGGGTCAGTATCCTTCTTAATTTATACTTCATAGATTTCGATGGGTTATTTGTCCTTTGTCCGAAATATGCGCCGGGGGGACATAAAAATCTTACACGTGTAATAGTGCAAATACCACCCTGTAACTTTTTGGGTAAATTACATATTCGGTCACTTGCCTATTACTTAGTTTTTGTTTTATTCACTTAATATTTTTTTAAATCATACCTAATGTTAGGTTTTGATTATATTTTGGTTACTTATCGTTAAAAAATTAATGATGTTGATGTGTTATTTTTTCATTATTTTCTAATATTGATTTGGTATTATCTTATGATGATATGTCAACATTACTGTTAATTTTTTAACGATAGGTGATCAAACTGAAACTAAATAATATAAGGGTAACCAGATGAGTAATTTATAAAATTACAGTTAAGTTTATCTTATTAATACAAAATACGTCATGTCGAATGCGTTTTAGAATATATTTATGGAATAGTGTTGTATTATTAAGACTTGTGTCCAATGTTATTGGATGTTGGGTTTAGATAATTAAAATAAATTTTTGAACAGGGAAGATCTGAGAGAGCAATTGTTCTCTCACACGTTTTGTCGGGGATTTGGGAAGTGACAGTCGTGGAAGAAACAGCCTTTGCTTTGCTGTTGTTAGAATAACGTTTCTGATGTTCAGTGATAGCAATCAACACGAAGAAGAAAAACAATTCCTTCTCAATTTATTACAAAAGTCTTTGCTAAGAAATTACCTATCCTTGAACCGACTTTTAAGGATATAGCAACCTACGACATTGGAGATCAACAAATTAAATATTATTTATCACGAGTTATAAAATATTATTAACTTTTTTATTAGTATGAAAAATGATTAGAAGATAATATATGTTTAAATTATTTTAATTAATTGATAATGCACACATCCTACAGACGTGATTACTCGAATTTATAATCTCTAAAAAGAACAATATTTACTTTACTACTGAGGCCACTTGGTTAAGTCAAAAAGTATTATGAACAAGGAACGATGGTTACGTGAACCATGATGCTAATATGATCAGCCGGATAATGAATGAGCAGAATTCAAACTTGAATTCTTTATCTAGTAACATCCTTCGATGATTTACATGATAGATACGTCTCGAGATATAAACTTCAACTCCCTCTTGTTTACTTCTGTCAGGGGTGTATTTAAGCATAGGTATATTTAGAGAATAACCTATTTCATGTAAATGAGTAATCAAATAAAAACAACAACTTAAGTTAAAAAATTATATTGATCAAATTGATATATTTTTCTAGATTCATCTCAAATATATATTTTAAAATTAAAAAAAAATACAAATTATGTTAGATACAAGTTTTATTATATTTATGTTAACACATTTAATGAAACTTTCTTAAATTTAACAGTTACTTCTATCTTGCATGAATTTAAACCTCCTAAACATATTTATTTATAGGGATAACTTCTTGCATATAAAAAGAAACTTGCATAGAAATAAATTTACTCAAACTAAGTTTTCTACTATTTATCAGTGTGTGAAGAAAAAATTAAAATTTTATACGGATTGAATTTCTTTGTTTACCATGCAGATTTTATTTTTAACCTCTATTTAAAATGAGTTTCTTTCTATGCATTTCAAGTCCGATAAAAAATAATTTAGATCACATACGTTTTTGTTTATGAGGTGGAGAACGCAAATAGAGCCAAAAGACAAGTTATTATAGAATAATAGAAAAGGTGATGAAAATGACAAGCAATGTAGGGTGATGCGAATGAATCTTAAAGGCAGCCCCCTCTTAAACGCAGTATGGGAGCTTCTACGTGCAATGATTTTGAATCCATTTTCATGACCTAAATTTGGAATGGGTACAGTGAGCATCATATAATAATCTTTTTACAAATCAAGGATATAATGGCCTTTACATAATATCAACAAATCAAGGAAATTTGAATGGAACAAAAACAATAGTAGTTTTTAAAAAGTTATGTTTGGGTTTTAATTAAAAAAATAAGTGTTTAAATTATTATTTTTTAAGTGTTTAATTTTTTTATCAAAAATAAATGTTTAATATTTTCATTTTGTTTCATTTCAAGGTCAGTTATCTTATGAATATATGACGTGTGAAATCTGTTCATCGTCTTTCTTTCTCTTTTTCAATTTTCTAGGGAAATAAATTAAAAAACGAAATAAAGTATTCAAAAATTAATTATTTCTTTTAGAAATAGAACAATCCTAAATTCTAAACACTTCGATTGTGATAACCTATTTATTTTTGATACATCAATTAGATTTATCCAACCATCCTAAATTCATAAAATTTATCTAACAATACTTCAAAGCAAAAACGTATCCATAAGAAAGTGAAATAAAAACTCTAACCATAAAAATATATCTCAAAACACATCAATTTTGCAAGTAATAATTACACAAATATTTATTTTGATAAAAAAATAAATATATAAATAAAAAAGTAGATACTGTTTTTTTTAATTGGATGAATGTGCTATTTCTGCATTTGGGTCGCAGGGACAACATGAAGAATAGTGGCTCTCTTACACGT